ATTTTGCAGGAGATGTAGATGATAGAAAATCTACTAGTGGTCATGTGTTCTTGTTTGGTGGAACAACAGTTTCTTGGTTAAGTAAGAAACAGAGTTGTGTTGCAAAGTATACTATGGAAGCTGAATACATAGCTTGCAGCACAGCTGTTAGTAATGCGGTTTGGATAAAACGATTTGTTAACTGTTTACAATTAGGTATACATGTCAGACCGGTCAGTATGTTTTGAGACAATCAATCTGCCATCTCATTAATTAAAAGTGGAGCAAATAGCTCTAAGGGAAAACATATTGATGTTAGTTACCACTATATTTAGGACATAGTGGAGAGAGGTGAAATTAAAGTCAACTATATACCCTCAGAAGAGATGGTGGCTGACCCTATGACCAAAAGGTTGCCTCTGGAAAAATTCAGAGAACATATAGCTAATATGGGATTGAAAAATACCTAGCTAGGTGATTTAGCTACTTATATAAGAGCATAGTCGGATGATTCTGGGGACGCCTAGATAACCGATGTTTTGCGACTCTATCTTGCATGGAAACATGTGTTTGGTCAGGTAACAAGATAGAGGAACTGACAAGGTACGGATATCATAGTTAGCATGAGATGTAAAGTCCATAATATGCAACGTGCAAACTAGATAATATTGTCTGCTTGATCAGCAAAAAGTCATTGATAAGGTGTGTTAAGGAAAACCTTCAGGAATGGAACTTAAAGGAAGTACTTAACAATAATTTCAGTGCAGGTCGACACATGAAAAATGTGTATGGCTGAAGTCGTCAATGGTGATTGGGTATGGACTATGAACCTATCACTGAAAATTGATGCCGTTCACTTGTTGTATAGTGAATTGAAGTCATCTGGAATGTGTTGTCAATGGGAGAACACATTCGTACGGGTGCGGTCATATTGGTGGCAAAAACGTGCGCACGTATGGCCAAGTCACAATCAGACGTCGATCTACGAGGTAATTTCATAGATGAAAGTTGGCATGAGGCAAAATTTTGGTACCAAGGTTAAAAATGCTCAACTCAGGTTTATCATCTTATTATGGTGTGTTCAAGTGGGAGATGGTGGAATAAAGAGTGACCACACCATAATGTGGTGTGACTCACTTCAGTCAATTTTCTTTCTCTTGAATTGTAAAAAACCTTCCCGCAAAGAATATTGAAACTATCTGTTAGTTAGTTAATGGTTTGAATTCAAACATCAATAGACACAATTCTGAGTGAACCATGGTGACTATTGTGGTATGAAACAAATTCAAATGTTATACTTATTCTCAAAGGTCACTTATTTGTATATAAATAAGTGACAGTTGGTTTGGAATAATTGACACCTATATATATTTATGAACCAGAAGTTTACCATTTTCTAACTTTCGGATAATCGACATTCTCGCGTGATAAACACCCTCACGGGTATTTCGATCAATTGCCATTGTTAGATTATCTTTCATATACACGCTTGATCAAATATATATGGATGGTGTATATATGACTGTATATACAGACAATCTTCATCCTCTGCTTCAATTTTTCATCATCATCATTATCATAATTTATATCAAAAGATCATTGAGCCAACCAAGATCAGGGCAAGCCAAACCATTGTCATTGAGCTTGTCATAAATGAAGCTCCTGCTTGAATTGAATCGATCTCTAGACACAGAAGGACTTGGGGTTGAAGTAGAGAGATTGAATTGCGGCTGATCATCACCATTATCAATGGATTTATTAGGGTTTAGTTTTTTTTTTACTAAAAATGTGCACTGAGATTTTCTTAAATAAAAAAGATATATATAGAGAAAATTTGAATATAATATTAATGGTATATTTTGATGTTTATTATGATCATTTTACTTTAAGGTATAATTGCCATTAAAATAATATTTTATTGAGTGTGTGCTGAGGTAAGTAGGTATGTAGAAATAAAATTTCTCCAAAATGTTACATCAAACTCATAATCATTTTACTTTTTCTCTTACAAATATCACATCTAATTACAAAAAAAAATCAACTATCTTCTAAAATACAAATATTTTAATATACTAAAATATCCAAAAACTAAAATAACTTACTAAAATAACTAATTTTCCAAACGAGATAGTTCATTCCAAACAAAATTTTCATTAAATCTTTTTAAAAATACCTAACCTATACCAAAACCTCATTTAACCAATCCATGTACAAAAATTGATTTTCAATCCATCATCTTTTAATAATTTCATCAAAATTTAAGTAAAAAAGAGTTGTTGAAAATTTGATGAAATATTCTATTTATCACTTATTTGATGAAATTTTTAGTAAAAACTTTATTTGGTATAAGTTTGATGAATGGATTGGATATAATTTTTTACCAAAAATTTTCATCAAATTTTTTTTGGACAGATAATTTGATGAAGGATTAGAAAAGTTGTTATGTATTACTATTTTATTTTTTATTTTTATATACAATATATTATTCTCCTTTATTATTTGTTTAGTGAAAAATCAACTACATGCATTTGTTTTTTATGAAGTCTCATGACTTATTATTATTATTATTATTATTATTATTATTATTATTATTATTATTATTATTATTATTATTATTATTATTATTAACAGTAATTATTATTATTATTATTATTATTATTATTATTATTATTATTATTATTATTATTATTATTATTATTATTATTATTATTATTATTATTATTATTATTATTATTATTATTATTATTATTATTATTATTATTAAAAGTAATGGTTCAACTCTTTTTAAAATTTTTAATCATATTTAAATAAAATAAAACTTTATTTGCTATGAGCCACTTATATTGACAATTTCATGTTTACAAATGGCAAAATAATAAATTTGAGATCCACGTAGTGACTTTGGAAATTTTAAGTAAACATTTCAACGTCGCTTAATTTTGATAAAACTCAATTTAGTGTAAATTTGAAACAAGGAGTGGATTTTTTGACTGATTTTTATTCAAATTTAAGTTTGAGTCAAGAGTTAGAGATGCCATAAAGTCCCATTTGAAAGTTTAAAGTTACTTTTAAACAATTTGAGTAAATTATAAATACACTCTTTGAGGTTTGCTTAAAATATGAATAATCCATTGTAGTTTGAAAAATTACAAATATCCCCTTATCAAAATGATACAATGATAAAATTACCTAAATTATTAATTGAAATAAATTTATAATATCATTAAAAACTGTTAATTGACTTGATACTTTATTGATAAAATGGGTAATTTGTTATGAAATTAGAAACTTCAAGGAGCGAGATATAATTTTTAAAACTATAGGAAACAAATCGTATTTTAAGTCAATCTTAGGGGTATATTTGTAATCTGCCCTAAACAATTTAACAAAATTTTGGACTTTTTATCAGTATTTAATGGGTGGAAATTATTGTTTTTTTTTTTAAACTTTTAAGTATATTAATTGAGTGGATCTAAAAAGTAAAAAAAAAAAATTAATTAATTAGTTAAAGTATTTTTAAAAATCACAAAAAATATAAAAATACAAATTAAAAACTCAGAAAACTGTTAATTTTGCCAATAAAATAATTAAATCCAATTTAGACAAGAAATTTCCAAACAGCTGCTTACAACAATTCCCCCTAACCAGAAAACAAGGCCTCCATTCCATCACAACCACCAATTAAAACAATAAGAATGTAATATCTATCTATCTATCTATCTATCTATATTAGGGGTGCAACTCGGGCGGGCTCAACCCGAGCAACCCGAGCCCAGCCTGAGTTTTTTTAGGGCTTGGGCAACTATATCTTGTAATCTGGACGGACTTGGGCAGATTTTTGATGCCCGAATTGCAATTCGGGCCGGGCTTGGGCAGAACCAATGGCCAACCCGAACAACCCGAACCCGAATTCAATTTAATATATTATATAAATTATATAATATATAATATATAATATATATATAATTTAATAAATTATGTAATATATATAAATTAAGTAAAAGAGTTAGTCTTAATTTTTATTTTTATTTTTTTTTTTGGTTAGTCTTCTATTAAGTAAAAGAGTTAGTCTTAATTTTTATTTTTTATTTTTTTTGGTTAGTTTTCTACCATTAGATTAGCATCTTTTATGTCTACCCTTAGATCTACCTACAGGTTTCTGAACTCGGGCAATTCGGGCAACCCGAGTTCAAAATACAAAGCTTGGGCCGGGCTTGGGCAACAATGTTCGGGTTCATGGTCGGGCTTGGGCGGGCTTGGGCAGTGCCAAATACAATTCGGGTCGGGCTTGGGCAGACCCCCAACCCGACCGAACCCGCCCGAGTTTCCCTAATCTATATATATATTATTATTAAGTGAAAGCCTAAATTGATTTAGTAAAACATTCTTCTTCTCATAGCACATGACAACTTTGTATATGCTAAAATAAAAAAAAATTATTACATACAATATAAGCAAGTTTTGAACCCAAGAAGACCTTAGCTTTCATTAAGAATATACTTATCAAGTAAATCTCCGTTTGGGAAGATGGTTTATGAATTTTTTTGGTTATTTTAGTCACAAAAGACAAAATATGTTATTTTAGCCACAACAAACAAAACATCACATCCAACCCACAATCATTACACTCTTCTCTTACAAAAAAAAGTTAAAAAACCCTTCATAAACCAAACTTTTTAGCTTAGGCCAAAATAGCCAAAAAACCCAAAAAGCCAACCTACTTCCCAAACAACGCCTAAGTAACATACATATTATGATATTAAATTCTTTATTATTTATTTTTATTATTAATTATTTAAATTACACACGCATCACATATGCCACCCGCTAGTAATATAATAATGTCAATCAAATGCAATTGAACCACATTAACGTCAACATATTTAGGTTCACACTGAGATATTTGAAATTTTTGTGCAATTGCTTGAACACCTTGCATGTTAACAACCTTGTCCAATTTATTATTATTTTTTATTTCAAATATTTTTATTTATTTATTTATATAAATTCAGCCTCATTGGTTTAAGTCACAAATTTTAATTTTACAATGATTTACAAATTATGGAAGGATAAGGGCATTAACAGTATGTAATGTATATAATGGGAAAATAACAATTTTATTTTCATTTTATTTTTTTCAACTCGTCGTCCCGTCTGGTTATTTGGATTTGAAAGCCATTCACTAATCGAGCTGAAGGAAAGAAAGACATCCGATCCTCCTTAAGTTGGGTCCACCTACCAAAATAATTTGCGGCAAAATAAGAACTTCATTTACAGCATAATTTCTTCACATCATCCACACAAAAAACAATATGTATATAATCCATCATATTTATAAATAAATAATGAGACCCACCATTAATTTTTGAATGTGATGTGTCCTACATGCAAATATGGTGGAGTTTATTGTGTGTATTGTGTGGATCTACTAAGAAGTGGAAGAAAATGGTGAAAAGTATTTGGTGATATATATATATATATATATAAACCCCCAAAAAAAAACCCAAAGGACATCTTTGTTTACAACCATTAATTAATGCAACATAATTTTTCTTAAGTTTTTTATTTTTTTATTTTGGTACTTTGTAAAAGTTTGCTTGTCTGTATAATGTTTTCCATTAGTATTTGAGGGATGAAAACAACCTGTATGTAGTAATGAAGTAATGAAGAAAGAGAGCAATTTGAAGGCGAGCCAACTCCGCCCCCGGACAAAATCGAGCTCCTCCTCCAAATGGAGCATAAAATGGACTGCTTCTCCAATTTCTCTTTTCCTTTATATAGGAAACAAAACAAAAACACAAAAGAAAAAAATAGCTTTTATTTATTTATTTTTAAGAGTCGATGAAAGCAAAGTTGTAATATGCAAACAATAAGTCTAGAAACAGATAAATCAAATACAGAACAAAACAAGACACAAAATACATCAATGGACACAAATTTTCAAAAGTAGGTCCCATCAACAAATGCTGTAAATCCTATCTGTGGAGATATATTTTCTGAGTACCAACACGTGGCAAGGTGACGCCGATGTGTCAGCCGAGGTGCCACGTGTCCTGGTCGTGACGCCGAGGTGATCTCGGCTAGGCCGAGGTTGCCTCCGAAGATATCGGAATCCGAGATAAGCGGATAAGGGACAAGAGTCCTAGAATGAAGAGGGAACTCAACTTGGATATGGACAAGAGTCCTAGATTGGAAGAAGACTTCCGTTTGGGTAAAGATAAGACTCTTAGAGAGTTTATCCTAATCCCACTGGGAGTCCCAGATTAACAGTAATCCTAAGTCCATTAGGGCTAGGATTGTATTGGCTATAAAAGAGAGGCACCCCCATGGGTCTAAGGTATGCTTTTGATACTCAAGCTTGTGAGTTTAGTACTTGATTTATCTTTGAGAGATATACTGACTTGATCGTCGGAGTGCCCCCTCTTTTCCTTTATATAGGAAACAAAACAAAAACACAAAAGAAAAAAACAGCTTTTATTTATTTATTTTTAAGAGTCGATGAAAGCAAAGTTGTAATATGCAAACAATAAGTTTAGAAACACATAAATCAAATACAAAACAAAATAAGACGCAAAATACATCAATGGACACAAATTTTCAAAAGTAGGTCCCATCAACAAATGCTGTAAATCCTATCCATTCATGTGTTTTTGTGTCTGGTTCTGTATTCCTAAACTTACTATTATGTAACATATAGATATATATATACATAGTATAATTAGCGAATCTAAGTGTGCATCTCTGTCTAACTGACCTGAGTCAAAGGGTCCATCCATCTCCATGGATTGAAAGTGATTGCTCCTTCATACAAATTTTCATCTAAATGAACTGCTGAAAGAAATGGAACCACAAAACATCCTTTGGGAATGACATAACCTGCAGCCAAGCAACATAAATGAAAAGAGATTAATTAGTCAATTATTTGTTCTTACTAAATACATCTTCTATTTTTCTAATAAAAGGAGGAAAAAAAAAAACATTCGAAATATCTTAAGCTTTTACAGAGAATAAACTAAATTATATATTTAGACTTTGTCAGAAAACATAATATTACCCTATTCCTACTATTTAAAATGTACTTAGAAAGAAAAAAAAGAACAAGTTAGAAAAACAACAACAATAATGTACACAACATATTTTGGCATGGTGGTGCATGTGACAAGGGAAAATGATATTTACTATTAATTAATATATTACTTTCGTTTCGTCTAGTACTAATGAGTTCAAATGAAAATATTACAATAAAACTCAATATCAGCTCCAAGACATTTTAAGTCAATTCCAAGCTGAATACGAGACGCAATGGCAACGTAACCTAATTATTGTAGGATAAATTTTTGTGTGTGAATAAGTTAGTTATAATATTGCAAATTCAAGCTTCTTCACCACCTATGCATTCCACCTAGCATTATCCATAAATATGAGTGAAAGCATTTAAACCATTATTTCCTTCAATAGGAGCTCAAAGAAGGGTTTATCATATTCGTATTCCTGATTATGTCAATTTTCTTTGGAAACTTTTTGTTATACTTGTATGTAGATATGCGTGCGTGTGTGTGTTTAAACTATAAGTTAATTTTAGCATTACTTGTACAAGAAGCTTTGCTAAGTATAAAGTAAAAACCATGACACTCGCTTTGGTAGGTACCTCTGCATAAACTGTGTCTGCTAAAAATCTCTTGTGATGATTCTCCTTGTGGCAAGAGGGTTGTGGGCTAATTTAGCCACTACACGACAGAATTGGCTAAATTAGCCACAAACCAACAAAACACATTCAGCCTCCGTTTGGAGCATAACTTACATACAAGGGGGGGTGAAACTACCAAATTACCCCTGGGCTAATTTAGCTCCAAACTTACATACAAGGGGGGGTGAAACTACCAAATTACCCCTGGGCTAATTTAGCCACTGCACGACAGAATTGGCTACTTTAAAAAGACTCCAATGTCAATCTAAAATCAAGTACATTTTCATCATTGAAATCACTGCCCCTCTCTCTCTCAGCATACTTTTTTTTGATTTCAATTTTTAAAAATTATTTTTGTTCAAGTTTTCAATTCATATTTTTTTTATTTTTAATGATTTTTTATATTTTAATCAATTTTCTTTTTCCATTTTATAGATGCACATAATCCAAATAAATTTAAAAAGTATAATATTTGTGAATTTTTTAATACAAAAAATACAAAAAAAATGAAAATTAAGTAAATTTTCATATTTTGTTATATTTATTGATTTTTATTTTTTTATTTTTTTTATAAATATTTTACTTTTTAAGTACATCCAAAAGGTAAAAAAATAATTAAAAACAAAGTAAAAAATAAAGTAATACAGAAATTATCATGTGCGACGTTAATTAAAAACATAAAAACACAAGTTGAAAACAACAAAAAACCAAAACAGACCTCATTTTTTAATGTGCGACGTCAATTAAAAACATAAAAACACAAGTTGAAAACAACAAAAAACCAAAACAGACCTCTTTTTTTGTCATGTGCCAAGGCAATATATGATTTTTCACATCATTTTAAATAAATGACATGAAAAAACGTTTTTCCAAACAAACCAAACAAATTAAAAACAAAGTAAAAAATAAAGTAATAAAAAATTATAATGTGCGACGTCAATTAAAAACATAAAAACACAAGTTGAAAACAACAAAAAACCAAAACAGACCTCTTTTTTTGTCATGTGCCAAGGCAATATATGATTTTTCACATCATTTTAAATAAATGACATGAAAAAACGTTTTTCCAAACAAACCAAACAAATTAAAAACAAAGTAAAAAATAAAAATATATAAAAGTAAAAAACATGAATTACCAGTTGCCACATAATTTTTTAAAAAAGGAAAACACATGAAAAACCGTTTGTGAAAACTAAAAACAAATTAATGTATACAAATTAAAAAAAATAACAAAAACGTAAATTAAAAAAAAACGACAAAAATACGCCTTATCAAAAAAAAAAGAAAAGAAAAAGAAATTAGCATTTGCCACGTAATTTACAAATAAATAAAACACATGAAAACCCATTTTTGAAATATAAAAACAAATTAATGTGTACAAATTAAAAAATGACAAAAACATAAATTAAAAAAAATAACGAGAAAAATACGTCTTGTTCAAAAATATTTTAAAAAACGTTTATACATAAAAACATAAATTACCATTCGCGATGTAATTTAGAAATAAATAAAACAAATGAAAACTCATTTTTGAAAATAAAAAAAAAAGTTATTGTATATCAATAAAAATAAAAAGACAAAAAACGTAAATTAAAGAACAAGAACTAATTAATGTATAAAAAAAGAAAAATGACAAAAACATAAATTTAAAAAAAAAAAATCAAAATACGCCAAGTCCAAACCCAAAAGAAAAAAGAACAAAACAAAACAATTTCGGTCCACACAAGTTGACGTGGAGGACCAAAAGAAATGAGTTGACATGTAAAACACATATGAAGGGCAGTTTGGTAATTTACCATGAAGACACCTCACCAAAAAGCCAAAAAAGCTAAAAAGCCCTTCCCAAACCAGGCTTTTTAACCCCAAATTAAAATAGCAAAAAAAGCCAAAAAGCCAACCCACTTCTCAAACGGAGGCTAAGATATAAAAACAAGCTATACTAAAAACAATTGACTATGCAGCTTTTAAATTCGACATGTGAGTATGAATGTATAGAAGAAGAAGAAAGGACACTTGAATCATACAAATATATGTATATGTAAAAATTAAAGGACTAATTTCAATGATGGTCCCCAATGGCAATGTATATATTCTTTATAAAAATTGAAGGACTAATTACAACAATGATCCCCAATGTATGCACTCTATTGCATTTGGATCCCTCATATCACAGTTGCATAAATTTAGTTGAAATATGTCCGTTTGTGGTCCTTATGGCTGACGATGTTCAAATCATTAAAAGAAAAAAGGTATTTTGAAAAAATAAAAACCACCAAAAAAATCACATGAATGGTCCCTGATTTATGCCCTTTGTGGCATTTTGGTCCACAAAGTTGTAATTGCACATACATTAGGGACCATTAGTGTAATTAGTTTGTTGTTTCTTCCACAAATACCTTTGGTATGTCACATAAATACACATTTCATATTTCAGGGGCAAAATTTATGCAACCAGGACATGGGAGACCAAAATGGCATAGAATGCATACACTGGGAACCATTTATGTAATTAATCCAAAATTTAATACAAGCACACATAGAGAGCCAAGTATATATATATATATTTGTTACCTTGATATTCAATGCGTTCTTTTGCTTCTCTCATTAACCAAATTGCAATACCCCCCAGTCGAAGTGTTTCATCAATAACCTGTAAATACAATAATTTTATATGTTAACGCCATGTTGTATAACAATGCTACACATAATATATATAGTTCTTTCAAAAAGAAGTTTTGTTTAGATGGAGAATTTTATTACTGACGTGTTATGTAATATGTATGTATGAGGATTGCTATATATCAACAACAACAATAAATAACACCTTGTGTCCCACTCAAATGAAGTCGGCTACATAAATCTTTTTAAGACATTCTGCTATGTCAAGGGCAATATGCTCAATTAAATTAAATAGATTCATAACTTCTTTTAACTACCACACCATGTTAGTTTAGGTCTTCTCCTCCCCTAACATTTTCATTAATAATGTTGAGAAAGAATATGTTAAGATGGTTTGGTCATGTCACTCTTGCTTACCGTTGCATCTTGACCAAACCACCTTAACACGTTCTCTCTCAACATATTTTAAATCAGTGCTAGTCCTACCATTTAACGTATATATTCATTTCTAATTATTTCCTAGTCTTACCATACATCTACCTAAGCATTCTCATCTCAACTATACTCATTTTATGAACATGTTGTTTCTTAGTTACCTAACATTATGTCTTATCAGTAAATTTTACCAAAACTCTTCACCTTCTATGTGGCTTCCATATAAAATAGTTGGTTTCTTTTTTTAATACAATGGGCCTACATATACATATAGAATTGCTAGATGAACATTGGATACATAAACAGTATAATAAATGCAGTTATAAATATCATCTCTCATATATATATATATATAACTGGCGACTGGAGGCATGTGTGTTTGTCTTCACAACCTTTTGTCCAAGAAAGCATCAGCATTAAGCAAACATAAAGGAAGTAATGTTATAGTTGCATTGTCACAATTGTCAGCAATGATGGATCTAGGGTGTTTGGGGCCCAAAAATTTGAAAAATATCATATATTATACTAGAAATTTTAAAATAATTTAAAATTATAAAAGTTCGCACCCCCAATTTTTTTTAAATAATTTCAAAATTATATAGAGTAGCCCTCCTAATTTTTTAAACTATAGAATAGCCCCCCAAAGTCATAATCCTAGATCCGTCCTTGTTGTCAGGGTTATTGAAAGATGACAATGGTGGGAGAGTGTTCTTCTGGAATCATAACTAGATCCACACAATTTGCAAGCTGCCTTGCAATAAATTAAGAAAGATGATCTAATAAAAGCAAAGGATTCTTCAGGTTCCGGTGAAATATCATCTGTAATTAGAAGCACCCCATATATTTGTGAAGGATGTATTGCAGGAATTTTCTATGCCAAAACTACAGCCTTTAGATTAATATATTATAATATGTACACGAAGAAAAGCTTTTTAATTCCATAATTAAGCTTTACTCATGTTAATGTATTATATTAATATATTATATAATTAACATGTATATATTATACTAATGTAATGCATATATTAATTATACATAGTTATAGGATGCCAGAGCAGCCTCACTTTCGGCTGCTTGCTTTCGGCTACTTTAGTTTATTTTATGCTCCACTTTCATCATCATGTTGTATCACACAACTCCTATAAATGGAGTTCTCTCTTACTCCTTCAGATATCAAATATACAAGAATTTCCCTTACTCTCTTAATATCACTCTCTTATTTCTTTCATGGTATCAGAGCACAGGTATTTTTCCTAAGTCTCTGCATCACATTTTTCTTGGCAGATTGCTGCGTACCTCGTCCTTACCTAATACACAGATTGGACAATACCATCACCTTCGTCTCTCCACGACGAAGCCAACGCCACCAGATTCATCCTCATCTGACGTCTCACGCGCCTCCACGCGCCGCCAGAACATTCGGCCACGCGCTTGATCGTTCCAGACACGCTCTACGCGCTTCCTACACTATCCTGTGCTATTGTGCGCCACGGCCTCATCTGCTAACGTGAGCCACGTGTTTCTGACGTCAGCTGACGTCAGCCCTGACTGCTTCAGTGCGCCGTGTGTCTTGCCTGCTAACGTGCGCCGCGCCACTCTCTGCTAACGTGCGCCGCGCCTGTGACATCAGCACTGCATCATCCTTGTTTGACCAGCATCGTTGACTACTCCATTTTCAGCCTTTCTGGTCATATTTTTGGTCCGTTCACTCATTTTCTGACTAATTTTGACCATCTGAATTCACTAGTACTCTCGGTTTTTTCCGATTCTCCCTCATTTGTGCTATTTTTCACTCATGGATCGCCTTGACTCCTCTACCCAACCTATTTCTGTTATTCTTGACGGGACTAATTATGTCTTATGGGCACAAGCTATGTCTGGCTTCCTCAAAGGAAAGAAACTTTGGCGCATCATCACTGGGGATGTGTGCAAACCCGTTCAAGGGACCACAGATTCCGCTACCACAGACTCCGCTGCCAAATATGTCGACCGACTGGAAGATTGGGATAGTAAAAACTATCAGATCATCACTTGGTTTCGCAATACTTCTATTACATCTATCAGCCTTCAGTTTGGTCGGTTCCAACTTGACTCTGCTTCCTCTCCTGCCAAAGCAATCTGGGATTTTTTACAAGAACGCTATCAGACTACTGGCCTTGCTCAGCAATATCAGCTTCTGAGTCATCTTCACGGTATGCGCCAAGAAACAACTCAAACCATTAATGATTTTCTCTCCCAAATGTATTATGCTTGGGATCAGCTCGCTTTTTCTGAACCTCCGTGGGATTGTACTAAGGATGCTACCTTGTTTACTGCCTACCGTGACCAACAACGCTTAGTTCAGTTTCTCATGGCCCTCACTCCCCGATTTGAGCCAGTCCGCGCATCTCTCCTTCATCGCACTCCTTTACCCACTCTTGAGCAAGCAATTTCTGAACTCTTGTCCGAGGAAACTAGATTTGGTACTCTCCATCCACGCCCTGTGGACTCTGTTCTTGCCGCTCCCCAGATTCGAAGTTCTCCTTCCTCACCTTCACCACAGAGGTCCAATGCCTGCAATTACTGTCACAACCGCCATCTTCCGTCGACTCATCTTCTGGTTAATTGTCCAGTTCGTCTTTGTCGGTTTTGCAACAAGACTGGCCCTGGTCATCTCCAGCAAGATTGCTTCCGCAATCCAGCCCGTGCCTCTCGCAATGGTCCTTCCACCAGGAATTTTTCTCGCAGCCACTCTCACCGTTCTGGGACTCCATTTAAACCCATGCCTGCTCAACGAACTGTTGCTGCTACCTCAGAGGATTTACCTTCCTCTGTCCCTATAGACCCTTCTACTCCAGTCTTCTCTCAAACTGACGTCGCAGCCATGTTTCAACATTTTTGGCAGAATTCCGGTACTCCTCCATCTACTGCTTTATCTGTCACCGCAGGTAACACTTCTTGGTACTTTGCCTTCGCTTGTTGTAATCACATGACCTTTGACCCTACTATTTTTACTCCTCTCTCTTCTACTCCTCATGTTCCTTCTATCCATACTGCTGATGGGTCTCTTCTGTCTGTAAGTCATGTTGGTTCTGTTTCAACCTCTCACTTATCCTTATCCCATGTCTATCTTATGCCTGCTCTTACTTTAAATCTTATCTCCATTAGTCAATTATGTGAGCATGGTCTAACTGTTACCTTTTCCCGTACTGGTTGTTTGGTGCAGGACCCTCGGACAGGGCAAACTCTTGGGATAGGCCGTAAGCATGGACGTCTCTACGAACTCATCCATCTTCATGTTCCAGATTCCTCTCAGATCACAGCTCCTACCACTACTACCACTACTACCACTGCTACCACTACTCCTCCTTTATCTCCTTTTCAGCTTTGGCATTGTCGTTTAGGCCATCTTTCTGTTGGTTGGTTAAAATCTCTAATTTCCAGTGGTCATTTAGGTCATGTAAGTTCTGATGTTTTAGATTGTGTGTCCTGTCAACTTGCCAAACAACCTGCTTTGTCGTTTAATAAAAGTGACTCTGTTTCTCTTGCACCATTTGATCTCATTCATTCTGATATTTGGGGACCTTCTCCTACTCCTACTATGGGAGGTGCACGCTATTTTGTTGTTTTTATAGATGATTTTTCCCGTTATACCTAGTTGTTTCTTATGAAAAATCGCTCTGAGCTCAAACAACTTTATTACAATTTTGCTACAATGGTTAAAACACAATTTTCTAAAAATATTAAGCTTTTTCGCTCCGACAATACCATGGAATATAAAGATTTTGACTTGCTTTCCTTTCTTCAGAGTCATGGTACTCAACCTCATCGTTCCTGTCCCGGAACGTCCCAACAAAATGGGCGTGCTGAACGGAAACATCGACATATTCTTGACACTACTCGAGCTCTCCTACTGTCTTCCTCTTGTCCGGAACATTTTTGGGGCGAGGCAGCTCTCACTGCTGCTTACACTATCAATTGTATCCCTACACCTGTCATTCATAATCACACTCCTTATGAACGTCTGCATGGCACCCGTCCCCCTTACACCACCCTTAGGGTCTTTGGATCTGCCTGTTTTGTTCTTCCCCTTAAGAATTTTATCTAAAGTCTCTCTACCTTGAGTGAATTTGGAAAGAGTATTTTTTAAGTCTTCGATATTTTCTTTCAAAACAATTTGCTCCTTTTTTAAAGACTTATTTTCTCCTTGCAATGCAACTAATGTTTTTTCAGAAATTGAAGACTCTTTTCGAGTTAAAATATTATTTTCCTTTTCAATTTTCATGGTTTCATTTTCTAAATCATTTATTTTGGAAATAAAGGATTCATTTTCTTTTGATAAATTTGAAATCACTTTCTTTTGACAGTTACTTTTCAACCTAAGCTTTATAAATTCAGCATATAATTCATCAAAAGCTGATTGTAATTAATTAAATGTAAAAGATTTTTCATTTACCTCATCTTCGTTTCTAACTACCATTAAGCATAGGTTAGCAACCTCTTTTTTTGGTCCTGCTCTTGCTCCCTCGGGATCCTCACCTCATGTTGAGTCTCTCTCATGCCCTTTGGCTTCTCCACCCTCCGCTCGCTCACATCGGCTAACACAACCTTCTACTT